CTCCCCCCCCCCCCCCATTCTCTGTGGCCCTGTCAAGCTCCATTTCTTCTCTGAGGTTTCACCCCGCTCACTCTATCCTCCTTCCTCCCTGAATCTCATTCACTTTCACCAGGGTAGGGTAGGGGGTTGGGTTGTAGGCTCTGGTCTTGGGCCAAAGCATTCGGAGTGTAGGAGGGGATGCTCTGAAGGTAGGGGGCTGGGGTGGATCTCCTGTGAACTTAGGGCTAGGGCATCAGCTTCTGGAGCCCAGGGTGGGAAGTTCAAAGCTTGCCTCCCTTCTATCCACTCTGAGTGACCAGACAGCCAACTACAAACAAGGGACCCAACTGAAGGTAGGGAGGTGCTGTGAGTTCTTGAGTGGACTGGGGAATGTGGCATTTGTCTGGGGAGCACAGGGTTGGGGGGTTCAAGCTCTGTGGGGTGTTGTGCTCCTGGAGATCAATAGAGGGCAGTTCAATGGACTGTGTATGATATAGGGAGGTATTGTGTTTGCCTGTGAGCGAGGGGAGCACATGGTGCCTCAAGATAAGGTAAGTGTAGCGATATGCTATGGAGATAATATCCATGGAGAGAAGATAGTGTAAGCATGTTACTACTTCAGCTACAGTAGGGAATCGGGTGGGTCAGTGCACAGACATTGCTGGAGACAATTCAGAGAAGCATCCAAACCATAGCAAGCACCATACATGATACCACGAGTGTTGGTCATCACCCAGTACTCAATGAGGAGGCAAGGCAGAAGAGAGAGCGAAATGTGTGTCTGGATGAGATTGGAGAGGAGGGATACAATTGCTCTAGATCAGTGTTTCTGAAAGTGTACCGCAGAAACGCTTTAACTGGCCTCCCCAGTCTGTTTATATACCAGTGCCACGGCCACGGAACCTCACGGCTCCTATTGGCTCCATTTCATCCTTTGCAGCCAAGAGGAGCTGTGGGAAGCGGCATGGGCCAGGCTACCACTTCCCATGGCTCCCCTTGGCTGCAAAGGACGAAACGGAGCCGTGAGGCTCTGTGGCTGTGGCGCCGGTACATAAACAAACCGGGGAGGCCAGTTAAAGTGTTTCTGAAAGTGTTTCTGTGGTACACTTTCAGAAACACTGATCTAGATGGCTAAGGAGGCTCTCTTGTACTTCAAGTGCTCAGTCTAGGGAAGGAGGCAAAAAGGAGTCTGGTATTGATTAGGAGATCAAGAGAGAGATGAGGGGGAAATAGCTAGGAGAATTTTAACGGGAGCTGTATTATAGATTATCCATGCGTGAAGCACTTTTTTGGGTTTTAGCTAGGGGATGTGACAGTAATAAACCAGTGCTGGCAGGATATCCATACTGGGGCCTGTGCAGTGCAATATGTTATTAGGCCACCTGTACAGAACATTTAGGCCAAAGTCTCTTTCACAGTCCATAGTCTGCAGCTGAGTACGTCACAAGAATCCCTGCACTTTTGCTGCAATTGGCTGACTGTTCAAGAGGATCAGAGAGAGGATTTGAGGGGGATGGTCCAGATGAGGTTTGAGATGCATCAGCAGGGATGAAAAGTAAGAGAAGTGATTAATAAGTGGTGATGTTGGCTAGTATTGCAGGTCATGACAGAGGTGTACTGGCAGAGTGCTTTGAAGAGGCCCAAGACTGGAATGGGAGATGCCTAGGGTGCATTGGCAGAGCTGCCTGAGGGAAACTTGTAGCGTGACTAACCATTTATTAGAAGTTTCAGGGTGTAGCCAAGTTAGTACAGGATAAACTTAAAAACCAATAAAGAGTCTGGTAGCACTTTATAGACTAACAAAACATGTAGAAGGTATCATGAGCTTTCGTGGGCACAGCCCACTTCTTCAGATGATCTGGGTTTAATCCCTTGCTTTCTCAGGTTATGGAAAGGTGCTGCAGAGCAAGGTACATTGTGAGGAACATTTTGTCGGTGTTTCTGAGATGGCACTTCAGGCAGCATGTTCTGTAAGGTGGGATGCCTGTGCTATGCTAAAAAGAGCACATTCAGTGGATCTATAGATGGGCATGAGCATTAGTGATTATTTTTATTGTTCAGTAGAAAGGATTGGATTAGCTAAAGAGGACTGAATTGCTTTGGATAAAGTAAGACCTGGTGCAGGTTGTTGCCACAAGGTCTGAGTGAACCTTTCCTGGCCAAATTCTATTAAGGAGAAAGTAAGTTTAAAAGTTCTGGGGCCAAATTCTCCCCAGATGTAATTCTCCTAGGCTGCGTCTAGACTGGCATGATTTTGCAGAAATACTTGTAACGGAAAAGTTTTTCTGTTAAAAGTATTTCTGCAAAAGAGCGTCTAGATTGGCACGGATGCTTTTGCGCAAAAAGTGCTTTTGCGAAAAAGCATCCGTGCCCAGTATAGACTCGCTTTTGCGCAAGAAAGCTCCGGTGGCCATTTTAGCCATCAGGCTTTCTAGCGCAAAAAATTAAGGTGCCTGTCTACACTGGCCCTCTTGCGCAAGTGGGCTTATCCCTGAGCGGGAGCATCAAAGTATTTGCACAAGAAGCACTGAATTCTTACTTTAGAACATCAGTGCTCTTGCGCAAATTCAAGCGGCCAGTCTAGATGCACCCCTAGAGTTACATGAAGGATGAATTTGGTCCATAGTTTTTTAAAGGGTAGGCTCTGACAATCTTATCTTTTTGTTTTATGTGGCGACTAAGAATGCTGCTTTTGCTTAATTAGTTGAGTGAATCAAAACTCTACACTCAGAGGCATTTCTCTGACTGCATCTACTTCCGAAAAACATACCTGCTCAATTCCAACGTTTCAGGGAATGGTCTAGGTATCAATTTTGGTAAGGATCAGAGAGCTGGAAAAGCCTGATTTGCAGACTGCCCCTTTGGTGCTGAAGGCAGGGCAGACTCACTGGTGCCCTCTGTTGCTTCCTGCACACATGACAGACAGCAAGTTACATTTCACTGGTAGTATAAGATGAGCTGTGCACCCATTCAGCTGCCCAGAGACTGGCCCCTCATCCCTGAACTCTGTCCATTTCCTGCTCTCACCAGGCACTTCAGTCCCAGCTCTAGACAGTTTTCCTCCCTGGGCCCCTCTCCCTTTGTTCTGGCAACCCCCATCTCATGGTCCCCACCCCACTTAACTAACACACAGAGTTTGGCCTAGATGAGCAATGAAGTGTGCAGCATTAGTAACAAAGATAACAAATATGTTAATTGTTATCATTTAGGGTACGTCTAGACTATGTGCCTCTGTCGCCACAGGCATGTAGATTAGGCTACCAGACATAGGAAAATGAAGCAGCGATTTAAATAATCGCCGCTTCATTTAAATTTACATGGCTGCCGCGCTGATGTGGATAGTCTGGACGCGTGGGTGTCGACATCAAAGGTATTTGTCGACCACCCAGGTAAACCTCATCCCAGGAGGCATACCTGGGTGGTCGACAAATACCTTTGATGTCGACACCCACGCGTCCAGACTATCCACATCAGCGCGGCAGCCATGTAAATTTAAATGAAGCGGCGATTATTTAAATCGCTGCTTCATTTTCCTATGTCTGGTAGCCTAATCTACATGCCTGTGGCGACAGAGGCACATAGTCTAGACGTACCCTAAATGATAACAATTAACATATTTGTTATCTTTGTTACTAATAAAACGTGATGCTTTTAGAAAGGAAAATAAAAACTATTTACAACCTTTTCAGCGTTTATACTATTTCCCCCCTGCCATTTACCCCCAAGTTGAACTTTGAAAATAGACTGGTCAGCTTCTCCTTTCATTTCTAGTCCCGCTGTCTCTCGGGTCTCATGTCAGAGCATAATATCACAATGGCTGAGTGATGGCTATTCCAAGGGTCTGTTCAAATTTAAACAAAGAGCCGTATTCATTGAAATTTCTCTAATCTTGACAAGGTCCCATTTTACATTTTCGTTAATTTACTTGTTATTGTTTTGCATAAAACACATTTGGGGGTGCCTTAACTTCTTGTTTGTATGGCTGCCTCCGCACTAACTCATCGGTCAGAATGTTGGGGGCAATGGGCTATTTTTCTGACATTTGTGACCCAACTGAAGCCATAGAGTTTTGAAAATTTTAGAAGAGTGCTTCCTCAAGGTTCCCAGCTCAGAGGTGGCTGAATATAATGGGTGTGTCTCTAAACTACCATGCCCATCTGTTAGCTCCTCACTGCCTGTGAGAGCAGAGTAGGGAGGAATGGGGTGGAGTTCTTAGCCAATCTAGGGAGTATATTTTAACTGATCCATGTGTAACCCAGAGGTACTGAGACCACAGGCAAGGGAGAATGAAGTCAGCTCTACAGCCTTACCTGAGAGCCTATTAGCTCATGCTGTAGAAGCACATGGCTTTAGCGCCTAAGGGTTTCAGGTTCAATCCCTCCTGCCAGCCACTGTGGTCTGTCAGCTTTACAAGTGGGGGCTCAACTGGGAAGGCTCAGGATGTGCTTTGTTAGGTTGGGGAAGTAGGTAACCTGCATACCTTCTGGGTGTGGTACACTGTCCCATGTAGTGACTCTGAGACCACTTCCAGAGAGAATCAGTCTGCTCTGCAGCCAGCTGGCTGTTAGCTCGTGCAGTAGGGGCTTATGTTCTACACTCCAGAAGTCCTAGGTTTGATTACCACTGTTGACGTTACATAAGCATCCATCCTAGGTTCCTATAAGGCCCCCATTTCCATAGTACCTAAGTGCCTCACATCCTCTAATGTACTCAACTAGTGACTGCTCTCTGGACGGGGACCATTAGGCTATACTGGGGAGACAGACTTGGCTCTGCTGTGTTGTCATCCACCTTTCTGGACAGTTCCTCCCCACTTGTTTCTCTGAGCATGGGAAATGCAGTAACGCATGGGTTCAGTCTCTGTCACTGCTTATGTGGCATTTGGGCTTAAGGTGCCACATCTGATGAGCTCGTTCTTTCATTATTCGATTAGAGTCTGGAAGCCTAACTGTTCACTGGTCTGCAAAACGAAACGAGTTTGGTTGATCTTGGCTTAGTTCTCCTGGAACGGGTTTCAGCTTGGGATATGAAATCCTGTTGAATTGGTTAACTGGTTAAACACAAGGTTTAACCAGTTAAGCAGTTAAAAAGAGAGAGGTGTGGGAGCTGCCCCCATTGTGGCCAGACTGGAATGGTCCCCCCGCTGCAGACAGGAACTGCTCTGGCCAGCCTGGAGCGCCCCTCCGCCTGCAGCAGGCCCCATGAAACTGGAGCAACACTCTATCCGCAGGGCCGGCCCACAACATTTTATCACCTGAGATGGAGTCCTCAAAAGACACCCCCATATGCACCAGCAGCAGACACAATTTTCTATACTCTGGGTGCTAGTTTCACCCCCCACCGTCTGGCGGCTGCCTCAGTTTGCCTCATGGTAAGGCCAGTCCTGTCTACCCGCAGCAGGCAGGGAGCTGCACCAGCCCCCACCAGTTAACCAGACACTTGTTAAGGGGGTTGCTTACAGGTTAACCTTTCACGTCCCTAATTTCTGCATTCTCAAAATCACTGGCACAGTTGGCTCTGAATGGCACCCATCTGGACAGTGTCAGCAGAAAGGGCCATGACTCTCTCCAGGCTGTAGCTAAGAGATGCTGGTGGAACAATATGAGGAAGTGTCCTGTGTCCATGCTGCACACAATATGGATGGCTGGGATTTTCAATAGCTGGCACCTTCTGCAAGCAGTGAGCCTGCTTAGTAAGGTTAAAAGTGCAAATGGTGTTAGCCTGATGGTGGCTATTAACAGATGCAAAGATTTTGAAGGTGATGTAGCTGTAATGCCAGCAGAGAGATGTTACTTGTTTTCTATCCAGCTGGGTCTGTGGGCGTAACTCTGTAACAAAGGGCTGCCTGGTTTATTAGCATAGCAAAATGTGTGTCACTGGTCTGCTGGAAAAGCTGAGAGCAGCAGGCAGAGCCTGCTTTGGAGCCCTTGCCTGTTGTGCCTTGTAGTCCTCATGGCTTCCGTGACAGCCACAGAGGCACGTGGAGCCCGAACTGGCCCTCGACTCCTGCATTGTTCCCTGTGAGATCAATGACCATGACCTTAAGGTGCAATGGAAAGGGTCAATTTTAGTGGCCTAATCAGCTGCCAAGGTAGAGAATGCTCACTGATTTCTGACACCCGCGCAGCCAGAGTTGAGCTGATGATCGGATTTTCTGTTGCAATGAAATATGATCAGCTGCTTCTCCCAGAGGCCTCCTCCCTGGAGAGCCTCTCAAGGCCCTTTAGAGGATGCTGCACAGAGCCTTGCTCCAGGCAGAAATGGGGAGACGAACCCGTGCCACAAGGTGCCAGGCAGTGATCGTCAGAGGGGATTATTAAGGTTGCACTTATCAGTGAGAGGTCCTCAAGAGGGACTAGAGATGATGAAGTCTGGGACCTGTTTCCTGCCCTCACTTCTAACACTCCCCCAACTCCAAAAACCTTAATTCAGAAGTGCTGTTTGCTGCTTCCCAGCTTTGCACTTTATCTTATGTTTTTATGTGCATTCCCCTCTGTACGAGGAGGCAGGCACTTTGAAACTAGGTATTATGAGCTAGGGATGCAAAATACCACTTTACCGGTTAAATGGGGTCCTAGGCAGGGGACTAGTTGTAGCTGCATCTGGCCCATGGAGGACTGCAGGCAGGGGTCTGTTCCCGGGCCCTGGTTAACTATTACCCAATAAGCATCACCTGGTAAAAATGATGCTTACCAGGTCACCAGTTACCTGTTCGGATCTCTATTGAGCTCTCTTGCCTTTCCTGAGCCTGGAGTTTGACTCCATATCACCCTTTCTTAGCAACCACGGTGTGATGCATTATGAGTTGTCCAGTCAGGTCAGTCTAAACCTGGAATTGGTTTGATTATGCCACTGGAGATTCCCAAGTAATCTGACTACTGAGGCTGGAGCATGTTAGTCACTATGCGACCAGCGTGCATGACATTTCTCTCTGCAAGGGCACGTACGCAGGGTTTATCGGAAAGGTGATTGCAAAGTTCACTTCCTTTTTTCTGCATGTTCATTTCTTGTGAAAGCTGCGCAGTGGAGAGCTCTGGAGACCAGATCCCAGTTAGTCCAGGCAGGTGCGGTACAAGCTTCTCTTGTGTCCCACAATGTCCCTCACAGCCCTGTCCTGAAGG